CTGGCGTCACCAACAATGTGCTGACATGTCTCGACAAACACAGGCAGCGTGGGTGGAGATCGTTTTGTCACCGTGGCTCCTTTCTGCAGAAAAGAAGTGGCTTCAACTGGCACTTGATTGGTTTCCTCCGCTCCTTCACGTAGCAGAATGCTCAAAGCATGATGCTTCTGCCATACAATAAAACGTGCAAGGATCCTATCGCCATTCTGCCAACTTCGTTCAACTTCTCTTGCTCTGACTCCATCGACAAAAAGATGAGGATAGATATGTTGGCTACGAGCATATCGAAACCAAAAAGGAGCAGGAAGTGTGATTCCAGGCAAGGCATGAGCAACCCTCTCACTTGGGACTCGCAATGCCCAAAATTCATCAATGTTGGAAGCCTGTGATTGCAGAGATTCGGCAACGACAATCTGCTGATGAATGATAACGGCTGCTCCTTGATCATGGCCAAAACTGACAATAAAGTTGAAGCAGTCAAATCCCAGCTCCTGCATGTCCACTGTCATTTCCGGTGCAAACGCAATAGTGCAACCCTCATCTCTGAAAGGCCAGGCCTGCATGACGATTTCAATCCATCCTAGAGCGTAAACTTCACTGGCAGACACCACAACATCCCTTCTTCCTAGTGGCTGGTTTGCCGGTGAAATACCATGCAATGCAAACGTGATTGCATGCCGATCAGGCTGGAAGTGCATCAATCGTTCAAACTGCAAGAAAAATGCCTCAGCATTGCTGATCTGATTCATTGCATTGTTGACACTTTCAGGTCTTGGCCCAATCCAAACCAGACAAAAAGTGCCATGTTGAAAGTCATACGGCAGTAAGCCATCCATGCTATCCATTCCCAAACGTATTCCACAATCCCTCATGGTCAACGGTGGACAATGCATGTGCAGACCAAGCTGTAAAAGGATATCAGCCCTTGTGGAACCACTGTGGAGTCGCGCAGCATAGTGAGTATTGCGAACATGTACCCCACTCACCGCTCGTTCCAAAATGAGGGTGCACCTGTCATTCGGGTCACGGGCATCTTGCAAGTCAACAGCCACAATCAGCACAATGGACTTTTCACCTGCTATGTCCATCGGTTGTGGCGTGACAAAAAACACAGAAAGTTCTCCATATTGGGCATGATCTTCCCACGTATCAAGTATGCGCCGAACAAGCGTGTCGATGTCATCTGGGCTGAAGATGATATCCCTCCTGCCCAAGTCGACAAGCCCAAGCCCAAAAGTGACTGCGGTCCACTGCTCATTTCGTTGTCCCTCCTCACCATCTGCCAAGATCCGTTCAATGTGGTCTTGGACCAGCTGAAGTTGTTGTGGTGAGAAATGGATGGCAATTTCAACATCAACACCAGCATTCTCTTGCAGATCTTCCCAAGGCATTGGTAACAAATCAAGCGGATTGAGCACTGGATGTGCACTCATGAGGGAGATTTCATCGCTGTGAGTATGTCCTTCCGACCTACCATCGTGCAAGAGTGGTGACATTTCCACATGACTGCCACCTTTCATTCTTGCCCACTTACACCAAGTGGGCGCCTCTTCATCACTACACCATAGGTCAGAATCCTCACTCCCTACATCGGTGCTCACACATGTGCTGCAATGCTGGACGTTGACTTCATCTTGGCTGGGCCAGATTCCGCCAATGCATGAAAAACTGGCCTGGTCGCTGGCGTAAGCAATCTCACTACGCTGCTCGGACTGAGATGGACTATTGGTCAAATGTGCTTTGCCCTGGGACATAGTCAGATCCGAGTTACCCTGACTACTGTCCCGCAAAAGGGCCTTCCAATCGTTGCAGCTACTAGAAGAGGGTCCAATCATCTGAATAGACTCAAACCCTTCTGCAATCTCTGCTTGCTGTTCAACGTGGGTCGTACTCGTGTCCACAACACTCTGCCAAGACGTGTAAGCACTATCAGACTGTGCGATGCAATTTCGTTCATGAGCACTCACTTCAGGAAGGTTCGGGTCCGATCCATCTATGAGCAAAGCATTTTGAGACCGGCCATCATTGTGCACCTCCCATGACCAGATGAGATCCGAGTTACCCTCATCCCCGTCAGTGCTGGCATACTCTATTTGCTCCGACCCTGACACCCAAGACCACTGCAGACCATTGCCTTCCCTCTTGTCTTGGAATGTATGCACTCCCCCCGACAAAAGGGCGTTGACATCACTTTCGTCTGGAACATCTGTGGACTCATCAGCAGACGATGAGTCGCCATCTTCTTCAACCAACGGGCAGATTTCCCCAATTGCATACGATGCCATGGGAACATCGGCCTGATCAAAATCAGCAAGTCTGCGTTGCATTCTATCTTGCGGCAGAGACAAGCAACACATGAAACGGTTGGCCGTGCATGCAAAAGGGAATTGCGCAATTCGGAAAATGTCTGCCACGGTGACACCCTGTTGAAAGAGAACAGCCCTAACCGAAAACAAAGGAGGCAAACTTCTGCTTTTCAACAGGATTGCATTGTGTGCATTCCACTGACCTTGCAAGATAATGACATGCGCAATCGTACTTGGCATTCCTGGAGGTTTGCCCTCGACCAAAAAGAAATGGAATGGATCACCATTGTCCAGTTCATTCCAAGCTTGTCTACAAGATTGCTCAAAACTGACAAAGCTGGTCTTGTGGCTAACTTGCACACGCCTACTCCGAATGCACAAGGGAAAGCGATCGCATGACAAAAACCAAGTAGCAACAAACAGCGGCTTGCTGTGTTCTTGCTGCTCACACTGCAGAGTGATGTCACTCCACCATAAAGCACCAGTTTCTGGACTCTCAAAATTAAATGCTGTGTCCTGCTTCGTTACCGCACTTGGTCTATCCCTATGAGACTCAGACCTTGTCGCAAGACTGGCAGCGTCACTGCCGTATACATGAGAGCGACTGGCAGTGAGAGTGATTTCGTCCCAATTCGTGATTTGACCATCCAAATGCCAAAAGTGTCGCAGCTGATCATATGCACAACCCTCATGCAACGAAAACTGCAAAGGTTTCACACCTTGATACAAATGGACATCAATTACATCATGAAATCTAGTCTTTTTGGAGACTCGACCTTGAGCTTTTTGCGAAAGGCAGTGACTTGTCAAGCTGAGTTTGCACCATGATGGAGCACATTGCTCAAAATCCAGCCCTAAGTCGATGCCATCACACCTGTTTCCATTCATCACAAAGGCTCCTGCACGAAAGTCATGCGGCTCTAACTCCCGATGATGGAAGACATCTGACTGTGCTAGATACTCACTTGGATATGCACCATTCGATATGAGAACTGCCTGAGAATCAGGGTCATCATCGCTGTGCAACTTCGTCTTGTCACCACTTTCATCGTTTACAATGACACCCATGTGAATGTCAAGACCACCTTCATCGCTGAAAGATGCATGGGAACCGCCATCCGCACCACGGCAGTGCTTGCCCCATGTGACATTCTGCAAGTCAAAATTTTGGGCAAAACTACACAAGGCTTGCCTAACCTGTTCATATGTGTTTTGCACAAAAAAATCGGAAGGACCTACCGAGCTGTATGATTTGTTATGGCAACGTGCCATGTCAACACTCATTTGTCCTCCCTCTTGGAGTCCTTCGATTCTGTCTTGGTTTTCAAATGGAGATTTGCTACTTTTGTAGGGGAAGTCGCTCCCTTGAAAGGCTTGAGCGCCTTGGACACAATTTTCGGAGTGATTCCAGTTTGATCGAAACCCTCCAATCCATCCTCTTCCATCTCTTCTGTCAAATCTATTGGCCCTACAGCGCCCCCCTCTTGCATAGCTTCCTGCAGAGCTAAAATACCTTCCGCAGGATCTGGCATCTCCGGGATCTCTACTGCAGGCTGAGCTTGACCCAGAAGTGACATGGATGCTTCGCTCATCTCCTTTTTGACCACCAAAAGTTCTGCAATCTTCTGGTTGTGTACTTCCAACAAATCGGCACGACAGCTTTGATACATCTGAGCATGTTCCTTCACTTTGGTCAGAGTATTGGTAATAAAGGCTGTCCATTCCTTGTCTAAGTCCACTACCTTTTTGGCGGATGCACTGACCTGATTTCTCAATTTGTGCAACCGATTCAAATGACCATGTGTGAGCGCCTTTGCTGAAGCCGCCATTTGCTCTTTGGCTGTGAGCTGCTCCAACTGCCTCATCATTTCTTCTGTCAATTCCATCCCCATAGATTCTAAGCTGCGAAGAGATTGCAGCTTTTTGCTCTCGCTCTCCGTGAGACTGACATTCTCTTGACCCGTTGGTGGAGGTGGCAACACCGGTTGGGGAGGCAACTCCATCTCCCTGTGTGATGCACTGCTCGCCTCCCCCACTTTTGCACTGATCCTCGTCATAGGCGTACTCACAACCCAAGGAACCTTCTCGGGAAAGACTGCCCATGACTTCGTCTCGGATGTCGTCTCTTTTGAGGCTTTCTTCTGCACCCTTTGGCTTTTGGACCTTGATCTGCGCTTCGGCATCTGCCACACTTCTGTCCAGTGGGCATAGCATTGTTTGCAGTGAGTATTCTTCGGTCCATTGTTGATTTTGCATGTTTGGCAATACCAGGTCATATTGATGTAGCTCTGTATCGCAGAAGGAAATTCGAGAGAATTGAAGGTATGATGCCGCCCCAGCAAACAAATTGATTCCCTCACTCTCTTCTTGATCCCTCTTCCAGATAGAAAAGGAGGAGCACTTGCTATATAGGTTCTCGCACGTTGCCTCTTCTTTCGAAGATTCCGATGCCAAGCTGGCTCCCGCCTCCTCACCAAAGCCACAGTCACTGCCTGTTAGGCACCACCAAAATGCCACAAAAGCGAGGCACTTCCCTACCATGTGCAAGGGAGTCGCCCCTGAGGTTTGTAACTAGGGCAGCAGCAGTGACCACAAGACTGCTACCCCTAAGCCGAAACCTTGTATATATATATATATAGTGCAAATAACATTGTATATGCCCTCGGACCCATCAAGTCCCGCACGAAATGGTGCCTGGACCGGAAGAAGTCCGCGGTTGCACCTTGGTCGATGGGATGTGCTGCAGGATGCAGGGCTGCAGATTTCATGGGGATTTAGTGGGAGTCTATATGGATTTTATGGGATTTCAGGAAGCTCATGGATTATATGGGATTTAATGGAATCCTAGGGGTAAACTAATCAAAAAAAACAACAACATGTAAAAAAAAACATGTTTTCCCATTCAGAAAATGATCTACAAATGCTGGGTCTTTCCCATGAGTTTTCTACAAATGGAGGGTATATACTAGGCAGCCTCGCAACGGATTGGTTAAAAGAAACCCATGCCCTATCATCCGATCCCTCGTTCATACTGAACACCCCATATTAATGGTCCCAAATATATGTAAGCCGCCCCTACTAAGCCTTGGTTTTGGAAGGGTTGACAATAACAGCGGGAAGGGATTAATTGGCATTAAGTCCTTTGAACTACAAATTCCATCACCATTTTCTCTAGTACCCTCTGGTTCTTTGTTACATAGCCATGGAAAATGCATGAAAATGCCCCATTTATAGATGGTTTACCTATTAATAGCATGGTGGATCTGTCCATGGCAAACTGTTAAATAACCAGAGGGTACCAGTCATAACCAGCTATTGAAAATGGCCATAGAAATAGTGGATTTTCCCATTAAAAATTGTGATTTTCCATAGTTATGTTAGTCATAACCAGAGGGTAACATATTCAATTTTCTGCTGAAAATCCCCAGGCTAGACCAGCCATGACCAGCCGCAGCATGTGACCAACCAGCCACGTGCAGGCCCTTGAACTTTGTGGAAGAAGTCATCGATCACGACAATGCCACCAGGCTGTACCAAATCCCATGTTTTCTCCAAGGCATCCTGGAAGTCGTCGATTTTTGGCAACTCGAACAGATATTGGGACTTGCTACTGTATTGCTGAGGTAATATAAGATACATCGCTAATCATTGCTATGTATCTGGTCCCCATATTACAAAAATTTACATAATGTTGCATATCCACACGCGAAGGATCGCGTGTGGGCAATATGAGGCAATCTACCCTCTGGTAAACTAACATAACTATGGAAAATCATCATTTTTAATAGGTAAATCAACTATAAATAGCAATTTTCAATAGCTATGTTAAATTACCAGAGGGTAGTGCAATGTGGCCGTTTTTTATGCCGTTTGAAACCAGCCACGTATGGCGGTGCAGTCGCACCAAGACACCAAGACTGAGTGATACAGATCTCCATCGATGTGAACGAAGGCCAACCTGGCTGCTCACCATGTTTGAACTCTGGGGTCTAATCATGTCCAACGGGGACCTAACATAATGAAAAAATGGTGCTTAAACCATGACCCATGACTGGATTTCACCCTGAAATCCATGCTGGTTTCACCAGTTTCACCATGAAAAATGCTGCTATTCATAGGAATCTAACAGGATACATCACCAACTCAAAGGAGTTTAATGGATTTTAATTGATTTTATTAAAAATATTTTCATATTACATTGCATATGTATTTAATTACTTATTTATTTTGTAATATCTCTATATGACTGATGATGTTGATTGTATTTTTCCTGCGACTATCTCGGCGGCTGAGCAACAACAATGGCCAGATGCAAACTCCAACAAATCTCAGGGATGGAAAGTGCAAACTTCTTCAAATTGATTCAAACAGAATCTATTTAATTGGCAAGATCATGTGCAGTAAGATATTTGATTATCATTAAGAATTAAGGATAGATAGCCATCATATGCCATAGCCATCATCCCATTGAATCAAAGTGTTGTTCGTTCGCAGCACTCGCCCAGCACTCGCTCAGGTGGCCAGGTGGCTCTTGGAACTCGCGAGGCACCACGGTTTCGGCAAAGGACGTGCTTCTTGGTTGCTGGCAGCGGTGAATGGCAGGTCCCAGGACCGGCACCGACTGTATCTATTGATATCTATTGTATCTCAGGTCTTTCCCCAGAAATAAAACTATCCCAAAATGAAAAGAACATGAAATACAGAAAGATCAATTGATTTGCTGTATTGTGACAAATTCATGATATACCCTCTGGTAATTTAACATAGCTATTGAAAATGACCATTTATAGTGAGTTTTCCCATTAAAAATGGTGATTTTCCATGGCAAACTGTAAAAATAACCAGAGGGTATTCATGATTTATTACTGGACCAAGGTTTTGAACAATGTTTCTAGGGGCCTATGGGGTATACGAAAACAATTGCCATTTACGGTGAACCAATTACGGTGAAGCCCATTGAAATTGTCCTGATTTATCCCAGCTGCACCACCAGCCCTGAATGTCCAGACAATAGCTGTAGGGTTTGCCAGCACGATATCATCTACCCTCTGGTAAACTAACATAACTATGGAAAATCACAATTTTCAATGGGTAAATCCACTATAAATGGCCATTCTCAATAGCTATGTTAAATTACCAGAGGGTATAGTTTCTCTCAAATCGTACTTGCTTTTGCCTCCATGCGGAGGAGACTCATGACTTCCAATGATGCCTTTTCCGAAGCAAATCTGAAATCATTTCACAGGAGGTCAACGCACCAAAACCATCCCCAGGCAGCCCCCAGGCATGGCCCGCATTCTGACTGGGATGGTATCCAAGGATCATGAGGTCAATGGTGCTGTTCAACCCGAAGTTCTCCAGGAGCTGCTGAAATCGCTGGGCATTGGAGCCTTCTGACCCAAAGTCGCCTTCCGCAAAGTAGGGCTCGTCATGCGCGGGATCAGAGTCTGGTAGTCCTTGGAAGGAATCCTGGGCTTTTTGGTAAGGCAAGGGGGAACAGTAGAGGTGGGAAGACGTATGAAGATAGTCTGATAAACTAACATAGCTTTGGAAAACAATTCTTAAGAAGTAAATCATCCACAAATGATTATAAATGAACCATGTTCCACAGCTATGTTACTTTACTGGAGGGTACTGTGCCTCAAAATGGAGAATAAACCTGTACACGTCTAATGGCTGTTTAATGGGCCATAGATGGGAATATCGTGGAATATCATCATTCACCATCGGAACCTAACCCAAGGCCATGCAGGGCATGCTGCGATATCAATCCCAACAAAACAGGCCACACCAACAATCTGAAAAACCCAACAACAAGTCAATTACCGGCAGAAAAAGATAGATAGATGGTTTAGTACCACCGGCCCCTACTGAATCACCAGTACAAATTGTTTGTTGACATGAAACCATCCGTGAAACCCTCCATGAAACCATCCTGCGCCCCCAGCAAGTCCCCACCCTGCGCTGTGCCGAGTTTCCACCGCCAGCATCCTGCGACCCCATTGGGCGGCCATGTGCCCAAAGAAGAGGCTGCTGCCCCCCAGTCCCACCCCGAACTCAGCGAAGTGTCCCTTCAGTCCTGGTTTCGGGGAGCTGAGGGTAGGAGACACCCTCAGCTGGCCTACGCAACAAATAGGACCTGTCCAGCCTATGGGCTATCACTGAGAAGTGATGAACCAACATGTCCATCATTAATTGTGGGTCGACTGCAGCAAGATTAAGCATGTGCGGAAATGAAGAATGTCACAGTTCCCATGGACCCAAGCATAGTTTCTTGTCAAAGGCAGTGAATCTTCACATGTTGACCAAAACTCAATGACCTTTGGCAAACATCGAAACATCTCAAGGTTCCGTGCGTATGTTCAATGTTGAACCATCTCAGGGGGGTGGTTCACGGAGTCAAAAGGCAGCATCTAATGCATATCATCCACTCTTCATGACTGGTAACCACTGGTTATGACTAACGTAGCCATGGACCATTGGAAGCCATGGCCCATAGAAATAGATGATTTTCCCAGCTAGAAACCCCCATTTATTTTGGGGATTTTCCATGGCTATGTTATATAAATAACCAGATGGTAACCACTGGTAGCTGTTGCAACTTCTCAGCCTTTTAGCCGCACCGTGCGCCGTCCTGACTTCAATCTTTGCTGAAGAACTTCGTGGTAGATCAACTGCCCCCAAGGATAGGGAGGAACAGCAGCCTCAACGACGACAAGAAGACGTCTGTACCGCGGCCCAAACGGGCCACTGAGCTGGTGGCCAAGGTGAGCACGTCAAGAAGAATCTGATCTAAATCAACCTGAGATGCAGCTTGTCAGGTCATCTTGGCACTTCAACCATGGTATCAATTCCAAAAACTAGTCACCATGACACGCGGGTCTAATTATGATGTGTCAAAAAGAAAACGAAGGCCGGTCCAATTTGGCAACTTTATCACTCTGAGACAAAACGCTGGGGGCATCTTCGACAAAGAAAGCTCACAGGAGGATCATCGTTAAAAAAATGAACGTGCACATCTTCAACACCAGAGACCAATCATCTCCTCCTGAACGCGCCCAAGTGTAACCCCAGTCCCAGTGGCAGGTGTGAATGGCAAGATTTGCGAAAACATCTGCCACCTGCATCTCTGAGAACATGAAAAGAAACATGGCATCAGAACTTTGACAAGAAGGTTATGAATCAAACATGTCAAAAGAAAAGGGTCGTTGAAATCCTGCTGAGCAAAAACCAAGAGTCTGGCGGATAGTGGTTGAAAGGCTCTGAACTTTAACTCTTACCAATATACTGCTGCTCCTCGACATTAAGAAAACCTCTGAATCTACAAATTACGCAAGCAGGAAAGACTGAAATGGCATGTCTCGCAGAAATTTCCTGCCTGTTTTGCGGCCACAAAATGTCCAGTGGGAAATAGGAGTGCCTAGGCTCGAACAACATCAGCAACACATTGCAAATGCTCACCTTGCCTTGAAGACCAGTCGGCACATGTTCACATCTGGTTGGTGGTTTCAATTCCTCTGAAAAATATTAGTCAATGGGACGGATTATCTCATTTATTATGGAAATAAAACATGTTTGAAACCACCAACCAGACATGTTTCTAAGCTGGAAAATAACATGGCCCTCCCAAACCGGGACCCCAAGATCCACAGTGCAAACATGTGACTGACCCGGCAACCTCTCTGGCTGCAAAGCAGCCGCAGCCATCAAAGGCCATGCAAAATGCTGCATCTCATGGGACAGAAATCAAAAGCTGGTGGATGAAGCAACAAAACACGTGTGTTATAGTCAGTGTGAGATTTTAGATTTGAGATCATACATGGGCACACCACGTATATTGATGTATTATATCACATCTATCATATATAATCATATATACTATATCATATATTCAATTACATCCATATTTATCATGTGCAAACGTATAGATAACTTGTGAAAGCGTGATCCGACATCCAAAACAAGGACAAATGGCAATACACCTCACAAAAAGCAAACCGTACATAGCCTGGAACAAATTAGCTGTTCCAAGTTCCTAATCTATGTTCATCTATCTTCCATCTATCATTTATGGCACCCAAAAAACTGTTGTTACCCTCTGGTAATTTAACGTAGCTATTGAAAATTGCCATTTATAGTGAGTTTTCCCATTAAAAATGGTGATTTTCCATTGCTATGTTAGTTTACCAGAGGGTAACCTACTCAATGAAATCTAGGATTATGCCAAAGGTTTACCCAGCCCCTTGAGATCAATCTCAACTCATAAAGCCACAATTTGCTGCGGTCAATAACAATGAAACCATCGTTTCCACGGCGGTGATTCAAGTGATTTCAAGTGTCTCCATCGTTGTCTTAACAGCTTTGGGTTGTCAAAAACAACGAGCATCCCTGCAGCATCCCCTTTTTTTTCTCAGGTTCAAGGCTCAATAAATGGGATAAATTTTAGGGTCACAGCCCCAAGACTAGACAGTAAGAAACCCAGGCATCACTTTGGAGCTGGCGACAGGCCCCTATAGGCCCCTCATCTTCCACATCACTGCAGACCTGCATCCCAGTTGACATGCGGTCAATAGTCATGGCTATCACCCGGCTAGAAGTGGGATGGAGCCCAGATTATATGGGTTATTTACCACATATCTATATATATATCTATATATCTATATGTGTATGTATATATATACATATATATATATTATATTTAACATATATATTACGTCTATATATATATACGCATGACCTACATTTATTTTGTCCCCAAGTCCGATGGATTATCACGGACTATCATCATTGCTCTGTTAAAATGTAATGTAATCGTTTTTTTGGTTTTATAATACCATATTGATCCATATTGTACCATGATACACCTCATTTTCAGGTACCAAAATGTACCTGAAACCAATGTCAATTCCCAGCCACTGACAAGATTCGGATGACACTCCCAGTCTACCTGGAAATGTTGAAGTTTCCCCCCCGTGGCCATCATTCGCCTTTTTCATGGCGCCAGGAGCAACCCTGACTTAGTTTTTTGTGGGGGAAAGTGGGGTAAAACATGGTAAAATGCTTCATGCGCCAAAACAGTTGCTGTGTAAGAATATGTAAGACATATAGAAAGTACTCACTTGCAACTCTCTGACATACTGTGCCCCTTTTCCCGTGTGGTCAACCCATGCAAACACCCTTCGGAGCGCTTTCTCAACCGCCGCGCATTTTTCTCGCAGCAGAACACCGCTTTCAGGGATCTCAATTTTCGAGACCAGCCCGTTCCGTGCAGTTTTGTGACTGGAGCTTAAAGATCTTAAAGCCACAGGTCAGTTCCGGTGCGTTCCTCCTGGAGCGTGCAGTGTCACCAGGAAGGAGATTACTGAAAAGGACATCTGTAGTCTAAAAGTCCTCATTTTCATGGTGATCTCTAAAATATTTATATCGAATATTGTAAGATCTTGGACTTAGATCATCACAATAATGAGAATGATGATCATCTATATTAAATATCTATAAATATCTAATATTGTAAGATAGTCTTAGATATCTCCCATTAAATGATTCTATTAATGGAGGTTTCTCAAAAAAAATGGGGGTGGTTTGCTCCTCAGGGGGCCGAAGACCTCTGGCCTGCAGGAGAGCAAGCTCCACGTCTTTCCTCGAAACCGCGGGGATCTGCCAGGCCCATGGGATCATTCAACGCGACCAATGTACCCTCTGGTAGACTAACAGTTTGCTATTGAAAATGGCCATTTATGGTTGATTTTCCCATTAAAAATAGTGATTTTCCATAGTTATGTTAGTTTACCAGAGGGTAGTTCTGGTTGTTTTTCAGGGTTTTTCCCACCAAAAAAACCAATGGCCACAAAAAGATCAAAAAGATATAGAATTTGTATGAAAAGTCAAGTGGAGTGGTATATTGAAACATATTGAAACCATTGAAAAACAGATCTGTGGCCAAGCTTCTGCGTGAGGTTTCTCTCCTGTTCTTCCAGCAAACGCTCCAATTCCTGAATGCCTCGGCTGCTTTTCGACATAGATCATCCGATGTCATCCACCCATTTTTTCAACACCACACATGTTGAGCCAAGCCAAGGGTTGGTTACCCTCTGGTAATTTAACATAGCTATTGAAAATGGTGATTTATAGTGACATTTCCCATTAAACATGGTGATTTTCCATAGTTATGTTAGTTTACCAGAGGGTAATGTCCGGTTGGATCGCGATTTTGAACATCACTTTCAGCTGTTTGTTGGAGATAAAAAAACCACAATTCCACAGTAGTTGGCTGATGTTCAATTAGGATATTTACCTCCGAGATATGTTTATGCGCTTGCCATGTCTGGAGCATGTCTCATGTCAAGGGCGCAACAAATGAATTGTCAAAGACTCTAAGCTCCTCGACGGACGGATTGACGCAGGCAAAATGGCATATCAAGAATCATGCAACAGATGAATTCAGATGATTATGGGACAATTCAACCTGGTTCGTACTTTCAACATCTTTCAACCCCTCTGGGATGATGACATTTTCAATATAAAAAATTGAAAAATCAGTAAAATTCCATGGTTCCAGTCACATTTCCAGTCACCACCAACCAGCAACAGATAGCAACAGTATTCAACACAGAATTCCCCAGTGAAATCGGCTGATCTCCATGGCTTTCGCGGGCTCGAGTTTCGCCAGGATACGCACCTCTCTGGCCAGCAACTGGCGACCAAAATCCACCACCTGGGGCTACTCGCAACACATATACGCTCCGGTCAACCAACAGTTTGCGAACTGGGAAATCACCATCTTTTTTGTAGGTAAATCAACTCTAAAATGGGCGATGTTCAATAGTCATGTTAGTTTACCGGAGGGTATCTATTATATGTATATATAGATAGATAGTTTGGACATGTTTGGAATTCTCAACTCGCAACTCTGGCTCCGGAGTTTTGGGAATATTTGGGAATATGGTGCGTCCCCTTAGCTTTTTGGATTCCCCAGTTCTGGTGGATTTCCCATTGGGAAAATAAGCCAAATCAGCTTAAACAAACCCATCAATCATCATCAATCATCATTAATTAATCATCATGAGTCATCATTCATCATCATTCATCATCATTCACCCCTCTGAAATCTGTTTTTTATATGATAAAAATCACCAGAAATCGGTGGATAAAGGATGTATGTTGCTTTGCCTTCAGCGTTTTTTCAGCCATCCCGCGGAATCCCGCCTGCTGATCTTGTTGGGCCACCCTTAGCTCCAACTCAGCGATCTTCCGGTCTCTTTCTCTTAGGTGACCACCAGCCTGTCGACAGCTGCGGCGGTTCCCAGCTTTCGACAGTTGCGGGGATGATATGGGATGATGATAGCCCCCCTGGTCAACATACAAAAAGCGATTGGTGGAAAATCACCACTAAGGGGCCATAAATCTATTGATTTCATAGCTATTTCAACTGATTTTATCACCCCTGGTAACCATAAATCAACTATTGGGCCATTTTCAATAGCTATGCTAAATTACCGGAGGGTATGTGAAACATTGTGAAGACATCTCTCAAAGATCTGGACAATTGATGGAAGTTCTATGGAATATCGTGGGAATATCATTAATAATATAATGGGAATATAAGATAGGGATGATAGATGATGATAGGGTGGCCGTAGAAAGCGTGGTAGACCCCATGGTCTACTTACGCTTCAAGATCGGTTTTTCAACAAAACAACAGACACCTCTGAGCCCAGCGAGCCCAGCCATTCCCAGGGGTACCCCAGGGGGTACCCGGCAGACGCGCCTCGCTTAGGAAAGCAATTTGGGCCTGGCAAAGTGTGCCGCTTGGGGCATCAACATCGCCCAAAGGGCCCTGATTTTTCGGATGTGACGTGAAGATCTCAAGGATTCACCACTGCTCATGTTGCCCTCTCATCAATATCCCATGTTCATAATCCACATGTATATCTTATGGATATCCCACTAGATTATCTTATGAAGATCATTAAATATCCCAATGATATTAGTGAGTATTCTATGAATGTCACTGAATATCCTATGAAAGTGAATAGTAGTGATTCGTATTCCACTAATTATTATCTTATGAAGACCCCATTCATATCCCATGTGGATAAAACAATCATAAACCGTCCCTGATTTCACCATGTTTATAGGTGGTTTTTGAACCATTCCCAAACGGATGGTTTATGACATTGTTTTACCGCATTAATGGTATTAGATGAATATGCAGTCATCCGCAACTCGGAAGATTGCTTCCCAACTTCCTTGAAGATCCCATCAATATCCCATTCATGATATATTAGTGAATATTTCTACCATCTGGTTATTTAACATAGCCATGGAAAATCCCTTATAAATGGAGGTTTCTAGCTGGGTAAATCAACTATCAATGGTCATTTTCCATAGCTTTTTGTATGTTTACCAGAGGGTATCCTCAATAAAATTCCGTGAATGTCTGCCTCTGCAGCTTCAAGACGTAAATGGATGCACTGATTGGGTCCTGAGGCTTCATGCGCCACCAAGGCATCGCGACGACCTGGCGGCTTTTCATGGGGAATTTTCTATGTGTTTATCATCTTTTTAAGGGGGGAACTATGACATATATATATATACATAATATATATATAGTATGGTCTGGTAGATATATTAGTGTAGACCTGGTGTATTTATATAGTTATGAAAGTTGGCAATGATTAGAAACATGCATCATAACATTTCATAACATCATATCCCAATATCAAAGCTGGGTATATGACAGTGTCATTCCCAAAAACAATGGATGGATTACCCCTTGGTTATTTAACATAGCCATGGAAAATCATAACTTTTAATAGCTACATCATCTATTTCTATGGGCCATGGCTTCCATGGCTATGTAACAAATAACCAGAGGGTAAGTGAATAACCAACAAAAGCAACCCAAATAGTTTCCAAAAAACCCCAGATTCAGCGAGGCATCTGCGGCAAGGCCTGTCCACCCGCAGCCACGGCGACAGCACACGGGCAGCTCATCTAAGAGGCTTCGTAAGGCCTGGAGGGGAGGGCATCCAATTTTTTTGCAGCCGAATTTTCCAGTTTTTTTGCTGGGTATGTTTAGTCTTTGTCAACGGATTGGTTTGATGGAAATATGATACTAACAGGAAATTGCTGCCATGGGAAGATCCACAATTTCCGGTAAAGATGTTCCCTTAAACCAATTCATGGGATTTGGGTTTCGACTGAAATTGTGATGGAAAAAACCGTGCATCCACTGGTTGACAAATTGTTTCCCCATTAAGACTGCCGTTTGGTGTTTGCTTAGCCAACTTTTTTTGACACACCCATTTGGGAGCAAAAGCAACTACATCAACTACACTATCCTCTGGTAACTCAACATAGCCATGGAAAATGACACTGGAAAGTAGATGATCTACCTACACATTGCCATGTTCAATGGCAAAGTGTTAGAAGACCTGAAGGCACCCTCCGGTACTCCAATGTGGCAATTGTTCAAATGCACCATTCAAGATTCATTTCATTTGATTTCCCAACGACCTAAAGCTCCGTTTTTTTGATCTCGGCATTTTCCAGCCACGTTTGATGACACCAACCGCCAGGATGTCATTCATCCCGCGCCTGGTGTGGACGCAGGTCCTGCAAATGCATCTCAGCTCGACAGGTGGGGCAATGCCCCACTGCTCCGGTGCCCATGGCTTTCTCATCGTCCTGAGAATTCGCAACGACGACGATCAGAAACAACGATAAAAACGTTGAGAGATTCTCGGTGAAACCCAGGGCCATCCCAAAAATATGGGCAAAATATGAGAATCTGCGAGTAAACATGGTACCCTTTGGTTATTTAACAGTTTGCCATGGAAAATCACCATGCTATTAATAGGTAAACCATCTATTTCTATGGGCCATCTATACCATGGCTATGTAACAAATAACCAGAGGGCAAATGACAGAAATGCAGTGACAAACATGGGTTACCACGACCTGGTCGGCAAGAGGATCAAAAAATGCACCCCCCAAATCCAGTACATCCATATGTGTATATAGGCATTTGCATATGCATATATATATATAATTATATATATAATTATATATATATATATATCATTTTACCATTGACATCGCCATAGATGTGGCTTCAATCCCCCAATTTCTGGACAAACCCAGAAATGACATAATTGCATCATAGAATCATCATTTAGCATCATAAAATTGCTTGTATGACGCGCCCATAGATTTTTGTCGGCGAAAAATGGTGAAAAATAAACACCCGGTATAAACATGCTGAAACCTGGTAAAACTTTGGTTGGTGGTTTTAACCATCTTGAAAACTAGTAGTCACTGGGAAGGATTATTCCATATGTTCTGGAAAATGCAAAATGTTTGAAACCACCAATCAGTATAATTTAATGTTATATAAAACATGGTGCCATCCCAAGAATTGTCCGTTTTTCGCAGGAAGGCCTCCTGAGAGTGGGACTCAGCCACCAAGCATTGCTCGACACATTGGCGGCAGAAGACGTGCTGGCATGGGCGGCCGCCACAAAAGACAGGGTCATCGAAGATTTCGAAGCAAACCTGGTTTTCTGTTGCTCAGAAATGGAGGATTTCTGTGGATTTACTCCCAATTTCTGGTACTTTTGTTACGAAACTTAGTTTGATAGGTAGAGCTAATATTGGATGATTTTAAGCCATGTTTTTGATGGAGAAAATGCTTAAATATTCATCCATTGCATTTTTTTGGTGCCCTACTTTCAGACTGCTATCCACAACTGGATTTCTTCATGAGGAATGGCCACAGAGGGATTTGGGATGACCATACAGTCTTGGGCAGGGGATGTGCAACAGAGCCTTTTTATGTCAGCGCGAATGATTTGATTAGTCCCGGACCGAGTCCCGGACCCCAATATCAAAGACACCCCCAAGGTAGCCCAGCCCATGATGCAAAAGTGAAAGCCACCCCACCGTGCTTTATCCCGAAAAAAAAACACAGTAGTTAATAAGTAGGTTTTTTCTGGATACAGAAGGGAAAACACCTGCGAACCACGTCATGGGGATGATGAAATACAATTTCTGGGTGCTGGAGGAACATCACATGCCAGGGACAAACGAAACCATCTTGCTGAAATAAGTTATTTACTGTTTTGTCGGCACGCCCGGACGATCCAGACGTTGTCATCTCTGAAAGCATCAGCCATTTATGTATATATATATACATATAAAAATAGCGCGCACCTACAACTATATATACATATATAATATATTCTGACTATACTATTGTGAAATGCATATTTTCATCAGCCAACAATTTTTCAGAGTTTGAATCTTGGGAGCCCCTTAAAAGCCTTACAGTAAATACCTCCCAAGAATTTGTGATCATCTTTCCACCAAGTGGCAGGACATTTCAAGGTATCTGAGATGGATTCCGGGTGCAGAAATTCCTGTTCGCTAATGCCCATGGCAATGGAAGCGATGGAATCTGCTCGGGCCCATGGCGAGCTGACGGTGGCGTGTTGTTTCTCTGGGATCTTCGTTGTTTTTTTATTTTTTTTTTCGTTGTTCTTTTGTTGTTTTTTTCTGGGAAAAACTTACCATGATAGCGACTTAACCATGATGTACTCTGATCATCTGTGCTTCCAAGCTTGGCTTCATGAAATGTTTCATGTTGTTTCTGATGTTTGAGGTGCAAAAGGACTTGGCACTGGGAAAGTCGGCTGGATGGTCTATCTGGGATTATCTGGGCACAACCTGCGGCTCTTGGCAGGAATCTCTTGTAAGCTGCTGAGCCAAGCGGTGAAAAAATGGGCCAGTCTTGCGAATGCCTTGCGATGCCACCATCATTTGGCTCACCATTCACAGAATATTCGCAGCAAAATGCAACAGAAGTATGTTGAGATTGTCAGTTTGTGACCACTTGGCAGCTTAGCCAGCTTAGTTCCATTGTTCTAAGTATCTACCCTTCAATGATCAAACACGGCTGGCTGGGAACTCCTCGAAACGGAGTCTTTTTTGTTCGCTGGGAAAATCCTCGAACTCTTGTTTGAACTCAATGATAGATCCATGTGCATTTCACGGCCCATCTTTGATGTACATATAGATCATATATGATCATACTGTAGTGTGTCATTACTGATTGGTGGTATACCTACCCCTCTGAAAAATGATGGAGTGAAAGTCAGTTGGGATGATGACATTCCATTCCCAACTGAATGGAAAGTCATAAAATTCCATGGTTCCTAACCACCAGACTCAGTCTGTATCTATCCAAAACATCAGGCCATGGCACCAGCCTTGTGATCCATCTGAGGCATCTGAGGATCAAGGCCTGGAGTGGTGACCCTCCAAATCTTGACGTGCTGAAGTGACCAACGTTCACAAATGCCATCGGATGTTCTGCATTGTTTCGGGACAGCAATGTTAGAAGAAAAAAAAACGACGACGACGTGAGGCCTTTTTTGGATTGAAATTGATCGAACCATTTGAAACATGATCATGGTGAATTCATGTGAATTCATCTTTCAACTCCTTGAGTCGCAGAGTTTAACGCTCACCCAATCTGCGGATCCGGCCATGGACCTGGCTCTGATGGGTCCCACATGGTCCCACTATGACACCTTTCATTTGCCTGGGGTTAAGGGAAACCCTGGGTTTTTACTTTAAAAAATCTCAGATTTGTGTCTTGCAGACTTTTCCTTCAACCGATTCTGGGAGTCCAATGATGGCGACCCATGTCCAGAGGTGGACACATGAAAGCTTCGAACTTAAGTAAGGCTTCCCAGGGTTATGCCCCTCGCAGGGGAAAAAACAACTCAACTATACTCAACTAATATCATCATGGTTCTGCAGAGGAATTTATATGGACATCTATCTTTTGTGTTCCGCACAAGTGGGCAGGCCTAAGTTTAGAAAACGCGGCCCACCAAACACTGATGTTGAACTGGGAATAACTGGGCGAACTCTTACATCATCTGGCACAACTTGGGAGCGGTGGTCTCACGATGGGTCTGACAATGGCGCACCCCTAAATCCAGTGGCATCCAGTGGTTGGTCATCATTTTCCTGTCCACAAGGCTTTCATCGTCCATCGCCCAACTCATTTTCCGACCAGAGAAGCGTGGGATTGCAAGATGCAAACGTCCCTGGCACACACACATACGTTTCATCCTGGTTGGTGGTCTCAATCCCTCTGAAAAATATTAGTCAAATGGGATTATTGTTCCCAATATATGGAAAAATAAAATTCATGTTCCAAACCACCAACCAGACACGTTTCATCACGTTTCCATGCACATTGTTGGCAGCCCTATCTGTACACAAGCGCCAATTTTTAAAGTCGGCCCAAATCCCATTTTCAGATCGGGCGCGAGATTTCGCGTTGGCTCATTTGGCAGGTCTTGGACCTGTGAAACCGCCGTTTCTGAAGTGTTCACTCCTTGAAGTTTTGAAGCAAAAACAGCTGATAGAAATGGCCATGAAATGGCAAGATCCTGAAATCAAACATGGTAAGCTGGGAAATCCGCAAACTAAATGGAGGCTTACAGCTGGGGACATCATAATAATCAGTTATATAAACGGATGATTTCTTTTGCCACGTTACCGGAGGGTATCCTCAAGAACCAGGTCTTGCAGTCGTTTTTTTAAATAACATTGACATGTATATTTTGCATGTCAAGTCCCACCGAACCCCGGTCAACTTCCTTTCTGTAACTTTTCAATAAGGACATCGTGTAGTTTCCACAGGTGGGACGGCAACAGCGGGCCATCAGGCGTTTCCCTGAAGGAAAATCACCTCAGCCACTGGAGATCCGACGTCACATCTTCCCAGGAATGATGAAAAACATATGGGGTCAACTTAAGATAAAGGAGATGAGGATGGAAAATAATATGTTAACCCAGGACTAATATGGACTAATAATGCTGGTAGAATCATCACAAAATTCGTCAAATTCACCATTTTTATAGGTGGTATAATATATATATATATACCAAATGTCATCATCCTAAATATCATCCATATATATATATAATATAAACATTCCCAAATGGTGTTTTACCCCCATCATCCAGGGCATCATCCAATTTCGGCATCCAAGAAACCCAGGGGACCGAGACGTTGGGCGCACTGATCAACAAACGGCCTTGTTGAACGCGGTCCCCCGCAAAGGAGACCGGAATGGGTGCCTTAGGACTGGCAGGTTGGAAGATCTTGGAAGCTGCGAGGAACAAATGCTCAGGTCAGGACTCCTGAAAAAAAAATACTTTACTTCGAGTGATCCCCACCATGACATTTATACGTTTTAATACTGGCAAATCTTCTGGCATTCTATCTGACATTTTATCTGGCATTCTCTCTGGCATACCTTCTGGCATTCTATCTGGCATATCTTCTGGCATTCGATCTGGCATTCTATCTGGCATATCTTCTGACATTCTATCTGGCATATCTTCTGGCATTCTATCTGGCCGTTGAGGTCCAGCAGTGCACACTGAGCTGGGAAGGTCCCAGGTTGAGGTCCAGCGGTGCACACTGAGCTCGGAAGGTCCCCGGTTGAGGTCCAGCGGTGCACACTGAGCTCGGAAGGTCCCAGGTTGAGGTCCAGCAGTGCACACTGAGCTCGGAAGGTCCCAGGTTGAGGTCCAGCGGTGCACATTGAGCTGGGAAGTTGGCAAAGAGCTTGGCCAAGAGTTGGCAAGGCGGAAGTTGAGGTGGAAGTTGATGCAGACATGGTCGAGGAGAAACAGGCGGAGGAGGAGGAGGAGGAAGAGGAGGAGGAGGAGGATAGCTAGCCGAGGAGGAGGAGGAGAAGAACAACTGTGATAAATCTAACAACCCTCACCTGGCAGGTCGGGAAAAAAAAAACACGCAAGAAGACACTACTGATCACACAACCTCCTCCTGCTGAATTCTTCTATGATGATGTCCATCCTGCCTCTGGCCCGCGATCGAGCAGATGAGGGCTCAAATGCTCCAACAAATGTTCCGATGTCACATATCCACCATGCCACCATAGCTGTGATACACAACAGAAACCCTGTGTGATGTTGACTGTCTCAAGCATCAATCCAGCATGAGATCACTTCAAGTAATTTGTAGTAACTTGCTGTAAGATGTTGCCTGTCTCAAGCGTCTTTGCAAACAGCTCCAAAGGTACAGAAGTGGAAATGTCTCTGTCCACCCCAGTGACTCTGTCATCTGTTCAAACTGATTGCTTCAAACTTTGCCACCTGCAAAGTAAGAAGTGGCATTGCCCCGGTCACTCTACCACACACGCGCGAGTTTGCAAGTAATATATAACATACTTGTCTGACATTCTTTCTAACTTTCTTCTGCACATTCTTTGTCCCATATCTTCCTACATGAGGTCCGGCAGGGAACACTTGGCGTGGATACTCGCGGTTGAGGTCCGGCAGGGAACACTGGGCGTGGATGGTCGTGGTTGAGGTCCGGCAGGGAACACTGGGCGGGGATGGTCGTGGTTGAGGTCCGGCAGGGAACACTGGGCGTGGATGGTCGTGGTTGAGGTCCGACAGAGAACACTGTGCGTCGAGGGTCGCGGTTGAGCAGGAGGAGGAGGAGAGGAGAGGAGGAGAGGAGCAGGCAACTGACATAAAATCTAACAACCCTCACCTGGCAGGTGGGGAAAAAGCTACAGATTATGAGCAATGATGATGTTTTTTTTGCGGAAAAATGAGAAATGATGATGTTTTTTTGCGGAAAAATGGGATAACATTGTGGGATTTTCCGTTGCCAAGTGCTATTATTTTGATGACTCGAGGATGTAGTTGTTTTGTTCCATGGGCTTCTTTCGCACTGCCAAGTGAGACATTAACCAAAAAAACGACAAATTGGGTGGTATACCCTCTGGTTATTTAACATAGCTGCATAGCCATGGGAAATTGCCCATTTATAGATGGTTTACCGGTTTACCTATTAAAAATTGTGATTTTCCATGGCAAACTGTTAGTCATAACCAGATGGTAGGTGCCAACAAATTCACCCATCAACAGACTCAACCGTGGTTTTTTTGAATGGCTCAGGTGTGAACTTTCTGGAGCCGAAGCCTTCTAAGAGCCCGGCTGTCTTCTTCCCATCCAATTTGATGGCTCGCTGAGTCAGTTGGAAGCAAGGATCGTCCACCTAGAATCTGGTAGGTGAGCCCCACCCATCAGGAAGATTTCCTTGCCATTGGAAGATTATAAGATTATAACGATAGCTAGAAATGAAGATTAATCAGATTATCTTACTATATTATATACATTTAATCATTTATATACTATCATGTGCTTTGGAAACTCAGCTTCTGTCTGTTCCCAGCTCCAACAAGCCATTTTTTGTTGGGAATCTGCTGGGCCATGGATCCTGAGATTTCCTGAGCTCCCACAAAAACCGCGCGCCTGCAGGGAGAACTCCACGGGTTCCATGAAGGGGTTCTGGAAGTCCACATTGGTGGGCTTGCCCTGGGTGTATGGGATGGTACCCTCTGGCAAACATACAAAAAGCTATTGAAAATGGCCCACTTATAGTTGATTTACCTATTAAAGATTGTGATTTTCCATAGCTATGTTAGTTTACCAGAGGGTTTGGTAAATTCCTGTGGTTTGGGGAGCACCAAGCCACCCAGAATTTAAGAGAGAAACTCTGGAAGATGACTGATCAGAAATTCTGGACATGGATCATGTTGATACTTGAATCTAGCTATATAGCAGCATGGCACCCGAATCGTGGAGATTGGCCAGCACCGAACAACAAATAAGCCTTTGGATGCTCTGGTTTCATCCACAAATAAATCGCAGGGACCCCAAAAAAAAGAACTGACTATGAATAGCAAATATCATCCCCAAAAAAAAAACTGACTTTGAATAGGGAAACCTATGGTTTGGGAGCCCAGCTCCAAAAAGACATCCCGCCTTGGCAATGTCCACTGGTCCTTGTGGTTGTGGTGGCTGTGCGTAGCCAACCAACAGGGCCTAGCGGGGCCCATGGCTTCGGGAAAGCCGTTGGATCCAATGAGTTTGGGGATATTGGTGATGAAAGTTGGGTTTCCAGTGAGCCTAGGTAATATACGGATATAAATATTATATTATATATATATATTTATATTTATATGGATGATATTTAGGATGATGACATTTGGATTCTCACAACTAAATCTCGCGGTATCTGGCATATCTGGCACCTTGTGCTCGCCAATGTCTGACTTCATGACCAAAAGGGCCCGGATCTCTCCCAGCGCAGAAGGTTGGAAACGGACCTGGCCCGACCCGACGCCAGGTGGATTTCTTGGGGGATCGGTACCAAATCCACCGTCCGAACGCTTGGTTTCGGACCCGAAAATCCGGGAAATTTATGGATGGTCATCCCCCCTACGAAAAGTCATAGACACATTGAGCCATCTCCAATGGTTAAAGTGCAAATACTGTAATATGCTCATCTATCTCAACATTTATCCAAGTTTAGTTGCTTGAACAATCTTGAAACGACATAAAACGTGCCCCTTTTGGTGCGAAATCCCCATATCAACCCATACCCAGCCGCCAGATGTTTCACGGCCAAGGGGCATTGATACAAACCTCCACACCATCGGGGCCAGCTGCTTCGGCTTTCACCTCCTGCAGTGGAAAGCTTTGGAAAACTTGGCGAACTGCGGCTTTCTTATGGATATATGGTGTGTACATTATATAAATATATATATATACATATATGATATATAATTATCTTATAATATATGTAATATTAAATGTACATATTATCTTATATATATATATATTATTTATTTAAAATGTATATTATATACATCATAAATTATATAATATATAACATGGTAATACATGGCATATGAATATGGTATACACCGCGTATAATGAAGTAAGGTATCATTTCCACGTTAGGAGCTCTCCGTCAACACAGTGAATCAACATCATCAACTCGTGAGGCGCTCTTCCCCAGGGACGAGGAAACAGTCCTTGGCTTCAGGGACGAAATCGAGGGTGACCGCTTTTTGACCTCGAAAATGTGCTGGGAAGATGGGCGATGGCTGCTGGGGGATGCAACAACCTTGAAAAAAAGAGCTGCCCGGCTGCCACATGTTGGAAGAATCCAGCTGACATCGAACAAATTCAATGAGATACTGAGTTTTTAGAGAATCACTTGCACCACGAGAAGACTGGTTTTCCAGCTTCCACCTCTCGGACACTCTGCTGACGAAAATGTCTCAGCTGGTGCCCCTCGCCTGGGGCTGCCTCCACCGTGGCTGTGAAGGTGGCTGGGTTAGCTGTGAAGTGGTGGAACCTCGGCCCATGGGTTCATGGCCGCGCTGAAAACAGGAAAATCCACCATTGATATCATGTAGTTTGATAATTTTCCTATCGAAACCTCCATTTATAGACGTTGAATGACGTTTTTGTCGGCTATTTCCAATGGCCACCTTTGATTGCCCAAGCGTCAATTTACTATGGAACCTTAAAAACGACCATGTCCCGTGGAAAGAAACATCGTTCAAAGCCAATTTGTGGGGCGCCATGTTAAGTTTAGGTAGGGGGTGCAAGTACCATGAAAGTGCGGGAAAAAACATATAAAAGGCATTCATGGGAAAACGGAAAACCATCCTGGATATTCATAAAGACGGCTGGAGAACACACCTGAAAATGATCAAATTTGGATGTCATATGATGTCATCAAAAATTGGTCTGGAAGAGGCCGCCACCGGAATCTTGGCCCATCGTTTCTCCATCGTTTCTCCATCGTTTCTCCATTTGAAAATAATTCGACTCGCGCTGGTGCAACAAAACTCGCAACGGTCGTGGTGACTTCTGCGCCACTCCCGGGTCATGCAAGGCATCAACGTTTCGGATCGTGCTGTACATCGACCCAAAAACCGAACAGCACTCCCAGTGGTGAGCTGCCCAGTCTGTACATGTCCGCAGCCGGACGGTCCGTCATGGTCCGTCGCCGGTGGATCTCTATCTCCTTTCACCGAAGAGCTGAAGCAGGTAGATGAAGAAGTTGAGGAAGTCCAGGTACAAATTCCAAGCCGCCAGGGCATACCTTGAGTGCGATGCGATGCTTCAGGACCAAGATGGACCAAGGCACCAAGAACTACATGTGGGAAGCCCCAGATCGAAATTTGCAAGAAAAGAAAAACATGTGGGTCATGGGGTTTCCATAAATGGGGGGACCCCAAAATGGATGGTCTAGAAGGGAAATCCTATTAAAATGGATGATTTAGGGCTACCACCATTTATTAAAACCCCCAAATCGAATCAAATAAATAACATAGTACAAACTCACAATTCAATGGACACATCCAAAGTCTCAAAGTCTTGCTTCCTATGACACTAAAAGAAACGTGTCATCCTTCAACTAGTCTCCATCCATTTTCTTCAGATGCCTCCCGTCTCACAATAAAGCTCCGTCCAAGGAGCATGTCGACGGTGTACTCCAAGTCCCGTTTCCCTCCACCAAAAGATGCTGATGCCGAACCAAAGATCTGCTGCGTGTCATAGACGATCAAGAAACCGAAGAGCATGGCACCAGCCCCTGCCACCACTTTGCTCATGACCTGCACGCTCGCTGATCAGCGGCGCAAACATCACACTCACCCCACTAGCAGCAATGTGATATGATATCATGCGATGAACCCAATAACCATCCACAATATGACCATAAATGGGTAGCAATTCTCAACCATCCCCAAATGCTACCTTGATTCTTGGGTGAATCCCACACTACTCAAAGGAGGTCCCTTACAAAAATTCAGCTGTCATCAGGTCAGCTCAGGTCCGAACTGGACCACGGACGAAGGAATAGACCATGATCAGCATGATGAGACCCAAGAAGAGAACCAAGATATAGGCCCCGCAGCCGGTGAAATCCGCCTTCGTCCTCACTGCATAAATGGTCAGCGCCACCTGTGGGAAAACGGACAGGACGAAAAGTGTGGCAGCAGGATGGTACTTCAATGATCTTTCCTTCATATTTCAATGTGCTCCAGGTTTCTAACTCTTCTATCTATTTGGGATGTGCGTTCAAAATATTTCAAAATGTTCCATGCAAGTAGATTCCCCAAAAGCTGCACCAACATCAAATCCAAGCCGCGATGAGGACAAAAGTCAGTGCAAAAACAAGCAGTACAGACTTCACGGTGTACTGAGCACAAAGGAAGCCCACAAAAATGCCTGGGTCTTCGTTAGGAAAAAGTTGCGGTATCTTGCGGTACAAGGATATTTGAGCGGATCTACAACCAGTTTGATCTTACTTTTGTCTGAAAGTCTGATTGTTCTAGCCCCCAAGTGGCAATTTTAAGAGGGAAGCTAATGATAAACCATGAGATTTGGCGGGTGCCCGATTTTCGGATACAACCAGCGCAGCAAAAATGGAAAACGATGAACACATAACTGGAAACAACCATCAATAAATGTATGCACGCGTAAGGATGGATAAATAGAAAGTGCTTCATAAAACCCGGACGATCAAGAACGCATGAATTGAGATTCAGAAAGAAACAATGTCCGAAACATTCCGAAACCACCCTTAGCTTAGCTTCCAAAGCAGGCGGAGAAGGTCATGAGATAAAGGTAGTTCCAGGGTGGTGTTCTCATCATCCACAAATAACTCTCCAAGAGGCCGGTCCCTCCACAACACATCTGACAGGACATGGCGAGATCGAAAATGACTTGGGCAATGACGATGCCAGCAGCAATGTACAGGATCCACACATTCCGGCTGAAGAAACTCAAGGTGGCATGGGTCTCAAAGATAAAGGGAGTACTGATGCCAAAAGTGATCAACATCATGGCTCCCAAAATGCCATAGACCTGCAACGTTAAGGATGCATTGTTGTTAAAGATCTTATTGGGGGAAAATGCTGGAGGAAACATCAGGAAACCATGGAAGCCTTACCTTTAAATATGGACAGTTCATGGAGCTGACATGATCAGCCGCTAGCCCGACACGCCAAGGTAGCCAGCCAACCACAGCCGACAAAAGCCATGGCGAACCAAGCGAATAAAAAAGCGAATGACCGCGGAATAGGGCTGGGGTGTCTCTGAAAATGAGGAGAAACAAAAAACACTGGCAATTTCAGCGAAACATGATGACCAACCATTGTGGGGCACCATATTTTCAGACCAACTATATATCTCATTGCTGCTAGATATCCCATGAATTCTCATGATATCCTGATCAAATTCTTGGTCTACGCCCATAAGGTTGGTGCAACGCCCAGAATATCCATGAAATCTCTACGAAATCCTGGAAAAAGACAGAAACAAAACAAACAAAACCTATGATTTTCTGGGCAAAATCATCGTTTTGTTCTGTGATTCAATGGATTTTAGCGGACAATTACCGGACCCCCTGATGAATTTCATTGGAACATTTGGGGAAAATGATGGTTTCCGATGTTTTTTGTTTGGCAAGAGAACATCAGAAAACCCAGACATCCCCCATCCATTCAGTGGATTTCCCCATCCATTCCGGCCTTTTTGATGAAATTCAACCGGATCTCCGGTGGCAACGCCTGGTCCCTACAAGAAAGCTGCAGCACCTCCAGTTGGGGCCGCTGCACCGTGGGCTGCGGCAACGCGGGGCCGCTGGTGGCGCCGAAGGCGTAGGGCGCCGGCGCGCCCGGTGCGTAGCCCGCGTAGGGCTGGGGGACCCGGTCGGCGCCGGGGGCGGGGCCCACCACCTTGCCTGGGAAAAAATGGGAAAACAGCTGCAAGGATTCCAAATTCCCGAAAGTCAACTCAACAATTTGACATAGTTTATGTAGACTTATACCGGTTTACATAGATTTTGGCCACTGTAGTTGGGTGTGAGAGTACAGAAACCCAAGAAAAGGCGAATGACCAATCAATGAGTCGATGATCAAACCCTGCCTTGAACCACCACAGGCGCTGCCATGATTCTGTGCTCTACCTGTCTGTGCTACCTGCGTCTTGATGCGAAATGTGCTGCAGACCACGGTCCGGATGCAAACACGCAGAAGTTGCTGCATTTGGACACCCAGTGGACATGATTGGACATAAATACACACACACTATATATATATGTGTGTGTGTGATTATAGGATATTATAAGCCATAGGCATATCATAGACATTTATAGTCATTTATACTCCAACCCCTATGCTGGTCGTCTGCAAAGTCGGACACCGGGTGTCTGGCCGGAAAGGTCTGGAACAATCCGTTGATCCCAATGGTGCTTTGAAGATGATCGTCTTGGCTAAGCCAGGCAAACCTCGTCCAATTTTCCACAGAAACCAAGGCAACTACACAGCAGGGTATACTTTGTTGGCATGTCAAGCACTAGGTCTAGTGGTTATTATCTTCATTTTCTTGAAAGCACGTGAAAACACTTCATGATAATCAGGGCTCTGTATGGTTACATCAATGTTGTTGTCCCTTGTTTTGTGAGCATGCTGGAGTAGTTGCCATCAACCACGATGAATTTTTCATTCATGCATGCCTCACTACACCTACCTCTGATAATCTAATGGCCGTGAAAAAAAACGGAAAAAATTGGCAAATCAGCAAATCATCTACTTTCATGGTCCATGTGGTCCTTTTCCACCCTTTTCTGTAAAAAATGGCCAGAGGGCCTGATGGCTTCTTCCCTGCCACTTCTTCATACCTGGAAAGACCGAGGATTGGGAGGGCGAAGGCACCAGGCAACAAATGGCTGGTTGGTGGTTGAGCTACCCCCCTTGAAAAATATGGCTTGGGGAGCAAGTAGGGTGGAAAATACAACATGCTTCATGGAAATAAATACCATTTCATACCATTTCTGTAAGGTGGTGAAGCCGTGAAACGCAACAAAACGTCCCGCAAGTAACCCTTAAACTCCAGTCGGAACCAACGCAGATGTTGGGGGATCAAAGTTGGCCCCACCCAGCATCCACCGATGAACATGGAATCTCCTAGCGATTTCCATGGTAGTTTTCACACGATCTAGGCCCCTAGGCCATGTGTAAACCGGCACTGCGAGATCCGCATGTCCTTTGAGTTCACCCTAGTTCATCTTTGGGACTACTGTATATTTGTCAAATTCACATTTTAACATCTGGTTATTTAACATAGCCATGGAAGCTATGGCCCATAGAAATAGATGGTTTACCTATTATAAATGGTGATTGTCCATGGCTATGTTAAATAACCAGAGGGTAACATGTTTAACATTTTCAACCAAGGAGGTATTGATACCAATACTTTGCCTGAAAATCCCTGGGTTGAAAGGTTGCCACTTGGGAGATCCCACTAAAAGCCAAGGTGCGGAAAGTTTCCATCCTTTGCCGCGCCTCAAAAAAAAGGAGATTGAGGTGAGTCATCGTTCAAATCAACCACTAAAATCAACGACCATGTGCTGAACCACCTTTTACCTCCAAATCAGTTTGTCCGAAAATGGGCTAACCATGGCTAACCCATGGTAACCTCCAGAACCCCAGAGTTGATCATCATTCAAATTGCCTTCAAAATAGACAGTTCCCATTCCCCGAAAAATTAACGTTGACGGTCATGGTAGGTCCAAAAAAACCATGAAATCCCCAGGATTTCCCCAACACCCAGCCTTCCTCTGTATCCCCCTTAGGTTCTGTGAGGGTCGGATCCGCTGGCGGCCTCCCGGCCGAGGTTCAGTGCAGTGCTCGGGGCTCGGGATTGCTGTCCGAAAATAGGACCCATGACCATCATCCAAGTTGTGAATGACCATGACATATATGTGACATATATATATATATATATGACTTGGTATCTTGAAACCCCTGGTGACTTGGGGTACCCCCATTCCCGGATTCCCCCATTTTTAATCCATTTTATGAAATCTGCACATGACCTTAAAATGGGAAGAACATATCAAGAAATATCAAGAACATGTCGGAAAATCAGGTCGCAAAATACCCAAATCATACCGAAGACATACTATGATATACTCAGAGAAAGGTGAAGTTACATGAACGGAATTGCATTTTCCAATAGTTTGTTCTGAAGCAAATCACCTCCGAATGGAATGACATGATGGATTTTCCAGATTCCCAGAGGTCCCTCCAGCAGCCGGTGCAGCCGGTGCCTGAATGACCTTCCGCCCAAGGTCAGGTTGTAACCTGTATCCTCTGGGCCTGGATGTGCCGAAAGTGTCATCTACGACCGAGTGGTACGGATGTCTGCATATGTAAAGACGACCGAACGTGTGCAACCTGTGGGTCTGTTGGTGTCCGAGTGTGAGCAAGGTTGTCACGACAGGCTTCTATGAAACGTTGAATTGCACATGACCCATCAGCACATGACCCACCCACCAGGGTCACCATCGGTCACCATGGCCTGATGGAATGCGCATCTGCAGTGTAGCACCATCCAGCTTGTGAAGATCCATTGGGGAGTACTCAATGATGATGGTCTGTCCAGCGCTTCCGGGACTTCCAGGATTGGTGGTCCAGTGGTGGAGATCCCTTCCGGTAGGTTGTCATATTTGGACATCACTGACATCACCATAGAAATTTGGCCCATGGCTTCCATTTCGGAAGAAATTCATCAATTTCCGATGCCCAATGGATACACCAAAGGGGCCTTCTGGAGCTGATGGGGCTCCAAACACTGAACGAAACCTAGAAGTTCTACGAAGGTTTTGGGAGGTATTTTTGGTATTCATGAACTGTATTTTCATGAAGCACTTCAATAGTACTGCTCATCAACATTCTGATGATGATCATCCTGATTCACGATCATCATTCTTTATTATCATCACTCTCATGATTACTATGATTCTTGCTATTGATTTACTATGATTATTGATTTACTATGATTATTGTTTAGCTGTTAGCTATTACTACTATCAGGAAGAGATTTCTTAACGTTTTCCCTTCATGTTATCATCGGGAAAAAATGTCTAAGCTCCTCACCGTTTCGCTGTCTTGCGTGATCACCCCCTGCTCCGGCGTGATGCTCAAATAGGGCGGCTTCTCTGAGTGGAGTGTGATGACGCGACCAAAGGAGTTGCGCAGCTGCCATAGGAAGTAATAGCCTCAAGAAATACAACAAAAACTGATGAAAACGGGGGGAAGTGAGAGATCTATAGAACTGTATGAGCTTGGTTAATGTGATTGATTGTTGGGTGGGAGGTATCTTGGGGCAACATTTGATGAAGAATGATGAAGGCCATGAAACACAGAGAAAAATGATGCAAACAATTGGATAGATGGAGAATTTGAGCGCCAAAACATTGAAATTGAAATAACCAAACTGTGTTGCTGATCAGGCCGATGAAATAACCCATCAAAGGCAAATCACTTACCGAGCTGATATCCTTTGATGAAGTCTTCAACGAGGCACGTGCTGGCAGTTGCTCATCATCAAAGCGGGGGATCTTGCTGGGACTGCTGAGTTTCAGGGTGAAACTCTTCTTTTCTTCCACCTTAGATGAACATAGATGGACTCACAACTGAAGCCGTTTAGTTAGGCGGTCCTAAAATTCAGGACCAACAAAAAAAACGGTGTTTCTGGCGTTTCTGGCGTTTCTGCGAAGGAATCCCATGTTATGGGGATCTTTGGGGCCCTGAACGAAGCTCCAAAGAACGAGGCTGGGGGTTCAATCTCAAACCTATGAAGTTGTTCTCATCCAAAAAACTGGGGCTGCTCCTGGCCCACTGATGTCACCGTCACAGTTTGGCCACCGTTTGATTCAGACCCGCCCGAACGTGCCTGAACATCTCCAAAGTCCAAGAGCTCCTGCAACTCACCATTTTCTTGGACATGCACCAACATCCCCCACAGGATTTGTTGGGGCAACTGCTGCAAATCAAATCCTCTGTGGTCCCCTTGGTCCCCTCATTGGCCTTCATGTTGTTTCGTAGTTCACGACCTTCTGAATCTGCTTCTTCCACTACCAACTGTGTATGGATTTGGTAGCCTGCCAGGCTGACACACTTGAGGGAACTTCGGTGGTATAGGGGTGACAAGAAAGAGGGAGCCACACATTGACATCGAGGTTTCTCCAGAAATGAAGGGTACCCCAATTTATGGCCATTACATGGAGTAGATGATGATAAACAGTTGGGCCACTGTCAGTCAATCATCATACATCATCATAAATCATCATAAATCATCAATCATAAATATGAATCATCATGAATCATCAAGCCAGAACATCATGATGCCACTTGACTATACCTTGACTCATATAGTACCCCTACTTCGGGACTTCGTACTTCCGCACCCGAACCTTCTCCCTTGATGTTCAGCAAGAGAGGCTTCTGTTTCCGCTTGATGTTGCACACCACCTCAGATGTCCACGGCTGCGGGGCCAAAGTTGGGGCCAAAGTTGAGTCCCGAAGCTCAGGGCGAATAAAGCAATACGAGAAGTTCAGGCCAACAAAAAGATAGAAAAGGACAACTTCTACGAAAATAGTGCTAGTTTACTTTTTAAAAAATTTAATTATCTGGGGTTATATACAATATACTAATATACTCAACCAATTTTAATGATATCTCATCCACTGATTCTTGCCCATATGCACGACCAAGTTGTCAGAATATCATGGGAAAGCCCAAGAATGAACCATCGCAAACCATCAACCGTTTGGCATTGAGCAGAGTCTTTGCTCCAAGGCTCGTTCACATTGTAGAACTTTTCCTCCGTGGGCTGGAACCGCACATCCACTGCCAGCGATTCGCCTGCCCGGGGCATCCCAAAAAAGGGCACACCCAATAGTAAATCCATGTAAATCCCAGGGCCGATCTCAATATGATTACGTACCCACATGTCTATACCGATCTATTGAAAAACCTGAAATTGGAAAAAAAAAAAAACATGGCGTTTACCACACAACCACCATGGAACATGTTCCGCCCCCATCCATTTGTGGCGTCGCCGCGCCACGCCTGGGCCAATGACGCCCTGCTTTGGCGAGACGCGCACCGCACCCATGGCGCGGTCAAAGGCGAAGTTCAACGGCAGATTCTCCTGGCGGACGGTCCCCGCAGTTTTTTGGATTTTTCGGTGGCTTCACGACATCATGTCATCATGGTATAAAGTGAATATATTGAATTTATATATATATATCCATTTATGAACTGGGATATCCCATGCATATATATATATATATGCATATACCATTTATCAGCCATTGAGAAACGGGATAATCTACTAAATGGGGACTTACGGAGTAGGTTTATTAACCACTTGCGATTCGTGGGATGGTCCTCCAAGGCCAGCGAACAGTGCCAGGTGCCAAGTGTTTCTGATAACTCAACCAGGTGCAAAACTCAAGGGCGAAGAGGGGTTGCTGACACTGCTGACATAACACATACTTTTAGGGCCGTGCCAAAATCTGTGATGATCAAAGAATTCCTAGTGACATCTCAATTTGGCACGTCTTTAGAGTGTCAATATCATTGAATATTTATATCTCTGGCATATTTGGGATGCCAGCGAAGTCTATGAGACTCTAAACTGTCTGTTCCAACTGCCCAACTGCCCAACTGCCCAACTGCCCAGGCCCCAGCCTTGTTGATGATATGAACCTTCTCAGTGGTCTTGCCACCCACCAACAAGCGCTTGAACTTGATGCAAGGAACATCAAAGCCTCGGTTTTTTTCATGAAATTTCATTCAATGGCCATTTCCATTCAATATCTCCCCAAAATATGGCCTTATATGGTACTAACGTACCTCCATTTTAGGATCCTGGAGATCTCCCATATATGTCATGACCTTCACGTTCCAGTTGTGTTTCCAACTGACCTTCGACCTTCGACCTTCGCCAAGTGAGGCCAGTGAGGCCAGGTCACCCACTTTGGGTTCCTTCACGGTGCCAACCAATAGGAAGCTCTGAGATGCTTCCTTCCCAGCCACCGAGAAGATCCAACGCGACTCATGAGTCTCAGGGTCCTCATGGCGAATGGGAAAAAAGCTCATCATAAAAACAAAAAGCCTCAGGGAAATGAATCTATCAAGGGGTCAATTCAATGATATTATAATATAACACAATAGATGTGGAAAAACACAAACTAACATAGATGTGAAAAATACACAATGGTTTTTCCAAGAAGTGATCTACAAATAGTGGCTTCTCCACATCTACGTCAGTTTATCAGATTGTAATATGCTTACTACCCTTTGGTGATCACCGATCAGTGAAATTTCCATCAGTTCAATTTCAGCTTTGGTTAAGTCACCACGGCCCCTCGTTGCTACCCTTTGGAATTTTAACACTTTGCTATGGAAAATCACCAGTTATGAATGGGCAAATTCGGCCATGGCATGGCAAGCTGTTACCAATCTATTATTCGGGGCTCAGCAAGGGGGGTTAGATCGCCATGATGCGCAGCTATGCAACCCAACATGCTTCGATGAATTCTGGATGGAAAATCTCTGACATGGGGCAGTCGGTAGGTACTCAAAGAGCATCTCGAACTTCTTCCCCGGCAGAATGGTTCCACGCCTGAAAAGGGGTACAGCGTCTGAAACTGCCACAGTTTCACACCTAAGAAACGAGTCCTAACAGATCCTGACAGTGCCAGAAGCTGCGTGTGGCAGACAAATATGATTTTTTATATGTGCCAAAACAAATGCATTTTTCTCTGTTTGTGTATTGATGTATCTATTTAGTCACTTGGATTCAGCCAGCTAGTTGATGATGAAAACGTCGACGCACCTTCAATATCTATCATAAATCATATATCTATAGATATCTTCTTGTTTATGATAGATATCACCATATTTATGTTATGATTTATAGTGAGATATACCTTGTTATCATAAGATCCATAGTTTCCCAAGGCATATCTCACCCCATCCATCCCCATCCCCAACAACGTCGTCCAGGTGCTTGGTCAGACAGCGGAAGTGCACCGCCGTTTGATCCGCCGATGGGACCGACTTGGGCTCCTCCGGGGTCCACTGGAACTCATAGGGGTCCGAAGTGGGATTCAACACCTCGGCATCGCTGCGAATGGTGATGTGAATGGTGATTATTCTGGTGATTAATGGTGATTAATGGTGATTAATGGTGATTTTATGGTGATTTAATGATGATTAATGGTGATTTTATGGTGATTAATGGTGATTAATGGTGATTTTATGGTGATTTTATGGTGATTAAT